CTCTTACCTGAGGACCCTTGCACTTGTTCTTCCACCTGCCTGTAACACTCCTACACTAGGTATCTTAGAGCTTGCTCTCTCACTTCACTCAGGCCTCCACTCAAAGCTCATCTCATTGGAGAAGCTGTCCATGATCACCCTATATAAAAGACATTCCCATTATTCTCACTCCCTTCACCTGGTTTGGCTTTCCTTCACAGGTCTTATCATCTAATTAAATGTTTACTTCTTTGTTGATTTACTATCAACAAGGATTTACTGTCTGCTCTCCCTCACCACCACCACCCCACACACACTAAGCACCATGCAGGCAGGGACTAGGCTCTGTTCACCAGTGAATCTCAATGCCCACTATACAATGGCATTCAGGCATATTCATTGAAAAAGTGAATGGGTATTTGCATTGGTTTGAAGAAGATATGATAAATTCTTGACGTTTCTGACCTTAAAAGATATTTTGCATAGCCAAATGTAAACAAACATATGCATTTATAAAACTAAAGACTAGAGAGTTTAATTAAAATAGTCATCCACAGCCGGGCGCGGTGGCTCAAGCCTGTAATCCCAGCACTTTGGGAGGCCGAGGCGGGTGGATCACGAGGTCGAGAGTTCGAGACCATCCTGGTCAACATGGTGAAACCCCGTCTCTACTAAAAATACAAAAAATCAGCTGGGCATGGTGGCGTGTGCCTGTAATCCCAGCTACTCAGGAGGCTGAGGCAGGAGAATTGCCTGAACCCAGGAGGCGGAGATTGCGGTGAGCCGAGATCGCGCCATTGCACTCCAGCCTGGGTAACAAGAGCGAAACTCCATCTCAAAAAAAAAAAAAAAAAAAAAAATAGTCATCCACATGAAATACCTATAATTTCAGCCATTTTCTAAATAATAGCAAGACTCTTCGACATAAAACACACAAAATGACTAAAATTAATCATCAAAGGCAAAAATGGGATGAGTAGAAGCAATATTTATCATGACCTGTATTGTATTTTTAGAAACTTTTTTGTAACTATTGTATTTTTTTTTGAAACTGTTAAGACACTTACCAGGCATTGTGTTCATTAAAAGTATGTCTGTTCATGAGTTGCTTTCCACTACAGTGTAAGCCCCCTGAGAACAGGATTCATCTTATCCATCTTCACATGCCTCTATTATGCCTATCTGAATGTGCTACAAATAGTAGGTAACCAGAAAACACATTTACCTAATGAAAAACACCTTTGAGTATCAAATAACATAGTACCTATATATTCACTGAATATATTTCATACATTTAGACAGTAAAATAAGAATTTCTTAATCTATCATTGCTTCATTTGTACACATGCTTGCTGACAAAAGATCTTAAATCTTCATGAAATTTAAGATAGGGGAGTAAAGAATTTTAAAATATGTACGAAGACAAAATGTCCTAAAAATACTTTAATTGGCGATAGCATCAACACTGCAGAATATCAAAAGTAGAACGTTTAGATCTGAAAAGTCCACACCATAAAAAAGACAATGCTACTTCAGTCAAGCCATGTTAACCAGAAATACCTTCCTGTGCAACGCCAGAGATTGCCTAAATCTCAATGGGATTATGAAAGAAGATCCAGTGTGCGTTCGTTCATGTGATTTCCAGAAACTACAGGCAGGCCTCGTAAGGCAGATTTTCCATGAGGCTGAAGAAGCTCGAGCTTCAGGGCCTCTCACTTGCTCAGGAAGGAAGCCCCACGGTGTGACCACCCCATCTCATACACATAGTTGCGTAAGCTTCAGACCCACTCCTGCCAGGGCTCCCTTAGAATATTAAGATTAAGAAAACTAGGCTAGAATTCGCAAAAATGATCCAGAAGCCATATAGTGACTTAAAGCATCTTCCAACAGCCCAGGAAGAGAGACAAACCAGGTCGAATTGTCTTTTTGTACTATTGTTATGATTATTTTTCCCAAGATACACAATTTCGTCTTGGAAACCACGACTAGAAAAGCAACGTTCATTAAATGTAAGCATTCATAATCCCAGATACTTATCACCCATAAAAACTAGGTGATGCGTGTGGTGAAACCAGGTTGCGGGCACTCAATACTTACTTCCGACGGTAAACACATTGTTCTGATTGCTGCTAAGCAGACCTGGTTAAAGACCTACCCGTTTTCTTACAGAATTCGAGTCCTGTTGTATCACAAAACTAGGCAGTCAAACCAAATGTTAATTGCGCGATTAATTAAACTAGATTTGCAACCATTTTTGACGCGAGGATCAAAACAAACCCCAAAAACGTGCGTCGCCTCGGCATTTGGATACTGAAAATTTCAAACGTGAGTCGCGTTTCCTTAAAGATTATTGAGATCTAGGGAGAAGCTGGGGGTATTCTCAGACAACCACACACTCTCCGCTTCCTAACCTGCCGCGAACCCCTCCCTTGTTGGTAACGCTAGTTTTTCCCACTCCGGCATGCTGTACTCGGTTAATTCCTCATCGGTGGCTAACTGGGTACAACTATCCGGCAGTTTTTTGCTTTTTAACTGTGACAGCGCATGTTCTTAGAGGTTCGCCTAACCTACCAGCGGCCTTAACTTGAGGCTGGTCCTTCCCCTCCACCCCTGAACAGGTCCGCAGGGCCTTCCCACTGCTCCCTCGTGGTCCCTCCACTTGGGACGGGTCCCCGCCACTTCTCCATGACACGCTTCGGCGGCCCGCGGCCTCTGGGCACCGGCCCTCCCCGGCGAAACACCTTCAGGAAAGTCCCCTCGGGGTGGCCGCAACGCCACGGCAAAGTTACCGGGGAAAGCAAAAGGGCGGCCCCGCGCACTTCCAATAGGACGCAGCCGGTTCCCAGGCCCGGACGCGCCCGAGAGGAGGGGGAAGGGAGTGTCCCCGCCGAATCCCGAGAAACGCCGCGGGACTCACCTCCGGCTCCCTCCCGCGCCCGCCCAAGCCCCACCTCCCCCGGCTCACAAAGCCTTCGGAGGGCGAGGGCAAGGGCGAGGGCGAGGGCGAGGGCAAGGGCGGGGGCGGGGGACAGCTCGCGGGGAGGCCGTCGTGACGCGGCGGGACTTGGCCCAGCGACCCGCGGGTGGCTCCGGCCGCGCAGGCTGCCGCTCCCCGGCGCGTCTGGAGTGCCCGTCCGGGACGCGAAAAAAACGAGTCCAGCGGCCCCGCCGCCCTGAGCCCCCGGCCTCGACAGCGAGCGCCCCCGAAAAGGCTCGGCGCGCCCCACTCAGTCCCGCCCGCCGCGTCTGAGGTGGCCGCCAACTGCGTGGAGGGCCGCGAGCTCGAGGGGCGTGCAGACGCCGTCGGGGCGCGGGGGAACCGCTCCGTGGCAGGCGCCCCTCTGCGCCCCGCCAAGGCCCTAACTCGAGGCCTCACATGAGTTCTCCGGTTGGCAAACTGTGCTTTCCCCCAGGCACCTGGGGAAGTTGGCCAAACAATGCGGGGGCGGACCCGGGGGAGGCAGGCGGGGGCAGGGAGGAGGGAGGAGGGATTTGGGGGCAGTGGGGGACAGTGCCGGCCGCCCCCGCGCCCCCCGACCTCTCCGAGACTCGCCTCCCTTCGGGGGCCACAGGCGGGCGGCACTCACGCCCACCCTCCTGCCCGGTGCGAGAAGATGGCCGTTTCTGCCTCGGTATAAAAGCTCTTTGTTGCGGTCACACAAAAGCGACCAAGCCCCACTTTTCCAGCAGGCCCTTTGGACAAATTGAAGGAACTCAGCTGAACTTCCAAATGGCCCTAAACGCCAGATCGGTGGGAGCAGCTAAAGCAGAGGGGGAAGAGCAGGCCTCCCGCGCCCATCTACCAAAACCTCTAGCAATATCCAAGTATTTATCCGGGAGCGGGAGCTGAGACCATTCCTAAGGGAGAAAGGAAAAGGAAAATCCACTTTTACTATCAAGGCCCAAAGTGGGTATTAAACATTCACGTTGTGGTAGGGTTTCTCCCCTTAACCAGGGTAGAAACATAATGCGGAAAAGTCTGGATCCACCAAAAAGAAAAAAGAAAGAAAAAATACCAACAATAGCAACTTAAAAACAAAAACAAAAACATAACAAACCAGTTGCCATCAGCCCAAAGTGGTAGTAGCAGCAGCAGGCGCGTGTGATCCACTTACTTGTCCGACTCTTGTGACATGTTTGATCCAATGAACTTGCTCCCCTTTTCCTGGAGCCTCAGCCTCTGGTGAAACTGGACTTTCAAGTCTGTGCAGGTGAAGGTGTGTGAGAGCGCCCGAGATGGCAGAACAAGAGCTACAGGTAATTCTGCTTTTCCGTCCCCCCTCACCACTCTCGCTCGCTCGCCCGCTCGCGCCCTCACCTAGCCGGAAAGGTGGGATAAGGGGGGGGCCCTCACATGGGGCCCGAGCTCGGAGGCGGCCGGGCGGCGCAGAGTCCTCCTGGATCGTGGCAATGGGCGGACACAGAGCAGAAAGTGGCGGACTTGGGCGGCCACAGGTAACTTTCTCGCAAGGAGCTGAATTCTTTCACTAAAGGGTACAAGCCCGAGGGACGAGCTGCGCGGTGATTGGCTGCGGATCTCCCTCAGGTGAGCTGCCATTGGCAGAGGCGCGCTCAGGTAAGGCCCTTCTCCAAGTGCAGGTAACTCACTCCGAAGTTTACCTGAGTGGAGCGGCGGCATGCTGGCAGCTCGGCGGCAGCCTGTGGAAGCTGAGGGCCAGTTCTTCGAGTAGACCTCAAGCTGCGTTTTCCTCCTTCACCAAGGCCAGGATGGGAAGGTGGGGGTACTGGACGAAGCGAAGAAAGGGGCTGGGGGAATGCAACACCTGCAAACACTAGGGATTGTGGGTCGAGCGGAAGAAACTAAATGAGAGCCGAGCTCAGGTGTCCCAAGTGAACAAGAATCAAATGCGCAGTACGTCACAGGGCATTTAATGCCCGCAGTAACAGGGCTGTTTGACAGTGGCAGAAGAGAACGGGACTAAACTTACTTTGTGCTGAAAGGGGAAAAGAAGCACAAAGTTTGATCTGTTGCGTAATTGAATTTTTAACGTGCTTATTCACAACAAACACTTTTCGTGTCCTGCTGTATAAAAGACATCAGCTATATTACAGATTTTAAACAGGTGAGCATCATTTTACAAGCTGGGCAGGTGGGGAATGGCGTGGTTTTGATGAAGTGAGGAGATTGGGTTGAATGGACACTAAGATGGCCAGGTGCACCTCTTCCATCTCAACTCTGCAGCCCGGGATTCCAGAGCTGCAAACAACCACTGAATTCGTTCTGTGAACCTGTTGTCATTTGACGTTCCCAGGCAGGCATCAACATTTACATTGTAATTCAATAGACGCTACTGCTACAAAGGTGCTTTATCCTTCCAGCTTAATATAGTTGCTACGGAAACACTGCAGGATGAAACTGACTTTTTTCTGCGGTAATGTTTCTCCTGGTTGGGAACAACGCAAATTAGCAAAGGTGTAATTTATAACCGCTGCTAACAAAGAGTAAACTATCTGTGAAGTTCTGACTGGGATCTAGCTCATACATATGGATTGTGGAAATAAAGGAGGATATGGAAAGCTTACCATATTTTATTTCAAGTTAATACTAAAGCTGCCAGACTTAATACACGTTTTTTTCATCTTTATGGATCACATATTTTCAGAAAATTACATAAAACAAGGTTTGGTTTGTTCCATGTGTCCATTCTCAACAAATTTCAGAATTGTATTTTTTAAGGGCAACATAAACACACACTTTAAAAAATAATATATTGTAAGACAATGCAGGTACTATTTTAATATAGTAAGATACATAGCTATCGTGTTCCTCTCCTTTTTAGAGGCAGCCACATTCCACTTTTATTGGTCTCTTCTGTCATTTACCTCCCTATTTCTAAATAATTTATACTGCTCTCTTGATTTCCCAATAGATGTGGTGCTCTAACTGTTGCTTCAGATTAGGATTTAGTTCTCTCATGCCAAGCAACTTCTCCTTCCAACATAGCACTTTCACGGTTTAGGAGCTAAGTGACTATGCCAATAGCAATGACAACAGAGCCAGCTCGTGTGCTATTTTTGTTTTCTTTCTTGTAAAACCTTGTATCTATTTACTTAGTTTATTATGCACCTATCCTGATATTTTTCTACAACTGATCTATCGAATGACTATCATGCTTATTTTCCAAATGATCAAACAATTCCAATTTTCCCCGGAAAACAATTCCTCTAGAAATTCATTGTTTTCCTGTTTCAATGGAGAAGAGTTACTCTGTGGATCCACTGCTCAAGTGTCAACCTGCGACGCTCCTTAATTTGTAGGGTGAGAATCCCCATTTCTATGTTTTGTGCCTTCTTTTTTGGTTTACTGCTTCATTTTCCATGGCATGTGTTCTAGTAAACAGCCCAAGAAAGGGCACAGAAGGTAAAATTTTGAGTTCTTACATAATTATTATGATTTTATTCAACTTTTACTTTTAATGGAGAGTCTGACCAAGTGTAGAATTCTAACCAGAATTTCATTTTTAAGTTTGTAGAAATTTCTCTTTCACTTATTTTAATTTTTTAATTAAAAAATAATTTTAGGCCATGCACAGTGGCTTGTACCTGTAATCCCAGCCCTTTGGGAGGCCAAGGCAGGAGGATCACTTGAGTCCAGGAGTTCAAGATCAGCATGGGCAATGTAGCTAGACCTTATCTCTACAAAAAATACAAAAATTAATTGGGCATACTAGCATGCACCGGTAGTCTCAGTTACTCAGGGGGCTGAGGTAAGGCGATTGTTTGAGCTGGGGAGGTCAAGGCCATAGTTGAGTCGAGACCATGACACTGCACTCCCGCCTGGGCAACAGAATAAAACCTTGTCTCAAATAATAATAATTAATTTAAGTTTTTAAAAACAAGTTCTTACTCTGTCACATCAGGTGGAGTGTAGTGACATGGTTATAGCTCTCTGCAACCTCAAAATCCTGGACTCAAGTGATCCTCCTGACTCAATTTCCCAAGTAGCTGGGATTTCAGGCAGAAATTGCTGTTTTATCTTCTAGCTTCTAGTGTTACTATTGGAAATGTCACCTAATTTTGCTGTGCTTCAGTTTCCTCATCTATAAAATGGAGATAATAATAGTAATTACCTTAATAATATGTCTGAGCCACTTAGAACAGTACCAGGCACTAATTAAAATCTTAATTATTATTCAATCTTATTATTTTTTAAACTGGATTAATCTCAGAATGTTCTTATCTTTTTTTTTTTTTTTCCTGTGACATAGCTCTTCATCTTTTGTCCTATTTTGGAGGATATTTTACTTTCTACTGCAGTTGTTATCTCTGCTATTTAAAGAGCTCATTTCATGCTGTTATAAATAGAGTTTTGTTGACTATGTCACAGTTGCACTAACTTTTCCTGTCTTCTAAGAGTGTTTGCTTACTGTAAGGTTTTCTTTGCCTTCTGCCTTGTCTCGGCTTTCTTCTAGCTTCTCTTCTCATGTATTTGTTTTTGTCCCATCATGTTAGAGGCTTTCGTCAACTGTCTGCAAACCTTTTCCTCTCCTTTCATAAGTAAGAATGAACTAATAGAAACCTCACCAGAAACTCTGTATGGGGGTGAGAAAAGTGTACTTGCTCTCTGGTGGGCCTGCTGTGTGGTGATCAAACGAAAGCTCATCTTTTCATGGGAAGATACCTCAAATGTCAGAAACTAGATGTCTTTTCTTTGGGGTGTGTCAGTTTCTCATGAGAAATATCTTAGAATCTCTTGCCTAAGGAGGCATTCACTTGGCTGCCAATGTTCTGGAAGTGGTTCAGGGGAAGGGGTCTGGATGAGTAACTGTTTAGGATGCAATCTTTCATACTTTTTTCTTTCCAGCAGGTGCCTTATTCCTGCCCTTCTTTGTGCCTGCTGGACAAGCCTCTCTCCTCTTTCTTTTGCTGACTACAAGGAGTGGGACAGGGCACCTGAGACTCCGGCAACCCCAAGTGCCAACATTGACCTGGCCCCTTACGTTTAGCTGCTCATGTCTCCCTCACCCTTCTGGGGCCCCTCATCAGCATTTTCTTCTGGTGATCTCTGACATCTCCAAGGCCTAGACCACTCTAGGGTTTTGTAGGGAATTGAGGTCTTTCTGTGCTGACCTCTAGGGCCACATTAGAGTGCAGTTTTCACTGTTCTGTTAAACTAGTTTTCATTCCTCCATCAAAATTGTGAAGCAGGGCTTTTGCTGATGACTCCTCCTCTGTCTTCTTTGCCCCAATGGATTTATCCCTTTATGTTCTTTTACCGTCCTTTTTAGGGAAGAATGAAGGTAAACAAATGTGTTTAATCCTTTAATCTGAAGTCCGTTTCCAAAATTACACAAAAGTTTTTACCAAACTGTCCCAACTTTGTTTGCGCAAAGAAATCCAGTGTTTATGGTTAAACCATTCCTTTTGTTGGTTTATGATAGTCAAGAATCTTTTCTTCCTCTTTGGTATCTAGTAACTCAACTTTGATCATGTTGTCCCCAACTGGCTAACTACTGCTGTATTCATTAGTTAGATTAGTAAAGGAAAATGTTTGAAAGGACTGTTTTAAATTGTCAACCATGAAATTACCTGTTACCCAAATATTTTTATTCCTTTGGCAGAAGAGTAGCGAATAAATAGGAAAGTTTCTGCCACACTCACCATGAGACTGTATTACTGTCTCTCCAAATGTCTTTATTCATAAACACTTAAGTACAGCAGTGGTTTCCAAGGTGTGGTCCCTGGATTGACTGTCAACGTCAGATCCCCTGGGAACTTGTTAGGAATGCAGATTGACCAACTCTCCCCAAACCCATGGAATCAGAAATTCAAAGAGGTGGGCAGCAACCTGTGTTTTTAACAAACCAATAGGTGGTTCCGATGCATCTTTAAATTTGAGAAACAGTACAGTATTCTGACAACATGAAGTTGCACACCCTTAGCCATTGAAGACCTCATCCTAAATTATGCTGGACATAGAGTTTTGCAACAGACAGGCATAGAGTAAGTAGTGGATTATTCCATTCTCAATGTAGTGATTATTTATTTAATGGTTGACCACTGTCCTTAGTTGGCGTAGTTAGCTCCTCAAAATAGTGATCCTGAAATCTGCTGCAGTATGCCTCATGAACTTGGAAGTTTCAGCACAGTTTAGAGTTTGATGGTTATTTTAGAAGGCAGCAACAAAGCAAACGTTCATATATAAAACTGGAAAAAAGATAGTGCTGTTTTTAAACCAAATTATTTTATTTATGAAGTAAAATTTTTAATTAAATTCCTGGGTCAAAATGGTGTTATTTTTATTATCATTTAAGTAACAGCCTTTAACATCTATTAAAATGGCTAATCTCATTTTCTATTTAGAATTTGATTCTATTTAGAATTTGATTTGACAGGGTTTCATCATGTTGACCAGGCTAATTTGGAACTCCTGGCCCCAAGTGATCCACCTCAGCCTTCCGAAGTGCTGGGACTACAGGCGTGAGCCACGGTGCCCTGGCCAGAATCCAGTTTATAAGGGCTGCAGATCTAGTTGAACAAGTCTGCCTGCTGACCGTCTTCTGCCATGTGTCATCATATGCGGGGCCACTACAGCAGACCTGCCATTGAATCTGCTGTGAAGCCGTGACAGGCACTATCTCCTCCTATGTCGTTTTGCACTATAAAAACACTAACTAGCTGGGCGCGGTGGCTCAAGCCTGTAGTCCCAGCACTTTGGGAGGCCGAGGCGGGTGGATCACGAGGTCAAGAGATCGAGACCATCCTGGTCAACATGGTGAAACCCCCGTCTCTACTAAAAATACTAAAAATTAGCTGGGCATGGTGGCACGTGCCTGCAATCCCAGCTACTCAGGAGGCTGAGGCAGGAGAATTGCCTGAACCCGGGAGGCAGAGTTTGTGGTGAGCCGAGATTGCGCCATTGCACTCCAGCCTGGGCAACAAGAGCGAAACTCCGTCTCAAAAAAAAAAAAAAAAAGCAAAAAAAAAAACAACACTAACTAATTAAATTGACTGTCATCCCCAAGAAGGAACCTGGAGAAGAATAAAATGTGCCGGGATGCCTGAATTTGAAATCGACCTAAGGATGCATCACTTAACCAACTAAGCATTCATGTGTCTTTTTTTTTTTTTTTTTTTTTTTTTTTTTGAGTCTAAGTCTTGCTCTATTGCTCAGGCTTGAGTGCGGTGGCACCATCTCAGCTTACCACAACCTCTGCCTCCCAGGTTCAAGTGACTCTCCTGCTTCAGCCTCCCCAGTAGCTACGATTACAGGCACGTGCCACCATGCCTGCCTAGTTTTTGTATTTTTAGTAGAGACGGGGTTTTACTATGTGGTCCAGGCTGGTCTTTTTTTTTTTTTTTTTTTTTTTTGAGACGGAGTTTCACTGTTGTTACCCAGGCTGGAGTGCAATGGCACGATCTCTGCTCACCACAACCTCTACCTCCTGGGTTCAGGCAATTCTCCTGCCTCAGCCTCCTGAGTAGCTGGGATTACAGGCATGTGCCACCATGCCCAGCTTTTGTATTTTTAGTAGAGACGGGGTTTCACCATGTTGACCAGGATGGTCTCGATCTCTTGACCTCATGATCCACCCGCCTCGGCCTCCCAAAGTGCTGGGATTACAGGAGTGAGCCACCGCGCCCAGCCCAGGCTGGTCTTGAACTCCTGACCTGATGATCCACCCACCTTGGCCTCCCTAAGCGCTGAGATTACAAATGTGAGCCACCGTGCCCAGTCAAGCACATGTGTTTATCTCTAGTCCTTCATTTTGTTGTTGTTGTCGTTGTTGTTGTTGTTGTTGTTGTTGTTGTTCTTTTAAGACAAGGAATCACTCTATAACTCAGGCTGGAGTGCAGTGGTGCAATCCTAGCTTACTGTAGCCTGCCTCAAGCTTGTGGGCTTAAGCAATGCCTGGCCTCTCAAAGTGTTGGGATTATAGGTTTGAGCCACCACATCCTGGTCCTCTAGGGCCACTAATAGAATCCTCGCTTATAGAAAAGTAAGGAAGGAGATGAAAGTATCGAAGATGAAAACAAAATTGGAAACTGGAAAGTGACTGAAGGAGTAGAAACTGATTTAGCAGAGTTGAGACAGATGAGCTTAAACATCTGTAGACACTGAGGATCACGATCATTTAGCCCAGGCGTCCCCCAACTTTTTACACAGGGGGCCAGTTCACTGTCCCTCAGACCATTGGAGGGCCACCACATACTGTGCTCCTCTCACTGACCACCAATGAAAGAGGTGCCGCTTCCTGAAGTGCGGCAGGGGGCCAGATAAATGGCCTCAGGGGGCCAAATGCGGCCCGTGAGCCGTAGTTTGGGGACACCTGATTTAGCCCGTAGAACTTCAGAAAGGCCTAGGACAGGGGTGTCCAATCTTTTGGCAGCCCTGGGCCAAATTAGAAGAAAATTTGTCTTGGGCCGCATATAACATATACTAACACTAACAATAGCTGATGAGCTATTAAAAAAAAAAAAAAGTCTCATAATGTTTTAAGAAAGTTTACAAATTTGTGTTGGGTGCATTCAAAGCCATCCTGGGGCACATGTGGCCTGCAGGCCAAGGGTTGGACAAACTTGGCCTAGAAAATCAAGTGTCTGATTATCATTGCAGGTGGGCGTGAGTGATAGGACTGATGCCAGATGTACTGATTCAAAAGCTTGATGCAAAGCTGTTAGGCACCCAGGCCCCCACCCCCACCCAGTGCAAGCAAGCTCCCATCCATAGTAGTTTTCCAGGCTGCCATAACAAAATACCACAGATGGTGTGGTTTAAACAACAAAAATTTATTTTCTCACAATTCTGGAGGATAAAAATCCAAGATCAAGGTGCCAGCAGAGTTACTTTCTTCAGAGGCTTGCAGGTGGCCATCTTACCATGTCCTCACATGATCGTTTCACTGTGAGTCCACCTGTCTGTGTTCTAATCTCTTCTTATAAACGTATGGATTAGGGCCCACCCATATGACTCCATCTTACCGTAATTACCTCTTTAAAGGCCCTATCTCCAAATACACTCACATTCTGAGGTACTAGGGCAGGTGTCCCCAAACTACAGCCCTCGGGCCGCATGCGGCCCCCTGAGGCCATTTATCCGGCCCCCCGCCGCACTTTAGGAAGGGACACCTTTTTCAGTGGTGGTCAGTGAGAGGAGCACAGTATGTGGCGGCCCTCCAACGGTCTGAGGGACAGTGAACTGGCCCCCTGTGTAAAAAGTTTGGGCACGCCTGTACTAGGGGGTTAGGACTTCAATACTTGAATTTGGGGAGATACAATTCACCCCAAAACTCCATCCCATCTCCATGCTAAGAGGAGACAGAGTATACTGTAGTGAAATGGAACCAGGAGGGCTCCCCACTTGGGTACATCAGGGGAACCATCAGGAGGGAGGCACAGGACCTACGAGAAGGAAAGCAAGTGAAATAGCATATGCTAATCAGTGTGATACCAGCTCATAGTTTCCTCCACCCAGCTTAGTAAGCCAGGAGCCAAGTTTATACCACCACCACCCATGCCTCTCCCCCAAGGCAAGAGATCAGAGGATGTTTCTTTAAATAAATTATAAGGTCCTAGAAAAAGATCTACAGCTGTGAATGTGTAAGTGTTCCCCAATCCAGAAGTAAGGAGGGAGGGAGGAAGGAAGGGAAGAAGAAAGGGAGAGACAGAGAAGGAAAAGGAAGGAAGGAAGGAGAAAGAAAAAACGAAAGATGCTTGCTGTCTACCAAATCTCCTTTCAAAAAAAATCCTTCAGTCCCACCCTCACAGAGAGCCTCTAATGAGCTTTTTATACCACACTTAAACATAAACATGAGGTCAAAGATCTTCAGTGTTGCAGAAAAGCCTCCAAAAGGAAGTACAAACTCTAGAACAAAAGTCTAGCTAAAGAAAAACTGATAGTACCAGGATGGGTTGAAGAATGTATGATTAATATGTAAACAAATAATGCGCCAATGAAACAAGAACAATGTACTATTTAAGAGCAACAAACGGCAGGGCATGGTGGCTCATGCCTATAATCCCAGCACTTTGGGAAGCCAACGTGGGCACATCACTTGAGGCCAGGAGTTCTAGGCCAGCCTGGTCAACATAATGAAACTATCTCTGCAAAAAATACAAAATGTAGCTGGGAGTGGTGGCAGGCCCAGCTACTTGGGAGGCTGAGGGAGGGGAATTGCAAGAATCCAGGACTTGGAGGTTGCAGTTAGCTGAGATCGTACCACTGCACTCCTCCAGCCTAGGTGAGAGAGTGAGACTCTGTCTCAAAAAAAGAAAAAAATCAATAAAAGCAACAAAAACAAATATTAGAGGGCCAAAAGGAGCTTCTGAACATTAAAAACAGGAAAGCTGAAATAGAGCCTTTAATGGAATATTAAAGATAGAATATAGATG